AGATAAATTTGATATCATTAAAAATACATGTTGTTATTTTATATACTTATTACACTTTATAATAGCTTGCAAATTATAAGTTACAGCTTGATTTATTCTAAAATTACGATTCATCGAAATATTTTCAACTTTTTTATATTTATATAAAAAAATTGTAAGTTCACAAGAAAATCACGTTGTATTATAATTATCTACTATTTATATTTATCGTTAAGTTACTTGTTTATTTCATAATTATTTATTTGTCCAATATATAAATTATAAATATTTTGTGAAAGTTAAAAATAATGATATATACCTACCAAGTACCAAGCTATAAAAACAAAAATAAAATATTGTCTTGGTAAATAAATATAAGAGCCATCATATATCAGTGCCATGCATAATGTAGAATTGCTTTAAATTACGTCCAATTTAAAATTTAAAATTTTTATTTAAATTGTGACCTCAATTTTAAAATGAAAATTACGTCTAGAGACGTTTTTGTAGAATCAATATTATTTCTTACCATTTTTTTAGACATAGAACTGATAATATAATTGTTTTGATATTGATACAGTTAAAAATTTTAGGTTCATTGTTTGTGTGAAAAAAATTATGGTCAAATATAAAAAATAACTAATAACGTCGATGGTAAAAAAGTACACATGTGATATATTTTTGTACCTACGTTTCTTTTTCCTTAATTTTTGATTTTTAATCCTAGATCTTTCGAACTGGTATACGTATCAGTCTAATTGATTAAAAATAAACAGAATTATATCCCAAAACACAATATACATTTCATAAGAGTTTTTCGAGCCACAATTTATAATATTGTATGTGTATGTGATCTTTTTTGGGAGGAGACAATTTACTGACTCCAGTAGATGAATCCGTCTCAGACAACAATACTTGGTGAGCATTCCAGTAATCCTATAGAGATCAAAGGTAACTTTATGGTACTAATATTAAGTACACTATAGTCTGTACACGTGACAACTGCAGGTATTTTCAACGGCCTCTATGTTGTATATTGTGTAATGGATGTTAAGGATCAAAGGCAAGTCTGGCTAAAAATGTTATATTTCTAATTGTATATTATGGAATGTACATATTACGCATTTATAATGCGTAAGCGTAATAGCGTAACGCATCCAATGTTCGCGTGGAAATTGTTCAAATATGAAAATTGTTTGTGTATACATTTTTCGTATGTTCAATATATTATTATTAATTCTAAATAGATGCTCATTACATTAAAATATATTTTTATATATTTGTTTTTATAAATATATTTAATAATACATAAAAATAAAATAAAATGTAATTAAGTATTTTTCCACGTTTGTGGGTGTTAATATGAAGCTACATAGTTTTTATATTTGCAATTGAAAATTGCATACAACACCACGAAGATAATTGATTGTTGTATGGTTGTTATAATTTGCACATATTTTTTTTTTACATTTAAATTTAAATTTTGATGTTGGTTCATGACTCGCAACATATTGCTAAATTTTTAAAGTATACTTTTTTTTATTTTTAGAGTGCATATTTAAATTTCCAAATTGATGGATGTTTGGATGAATTAAGTGTAGATTAAAAACAATTGTGCCATCCTTCAACTGTACTATTAGTTCATGGGAGACCTGTCGCTATTTTATTTCGTACCACGAGAGACGCATACGGTGGTCTACCGAAATTCGTCTTTCGTTGCGCATTCTTATACAAAACTGTGGTATAATGAGGGAATTCGTGTACGTTGTATGTGTTTTAGATTCGCGAGCCACATGTTCAATCGGAGTTTTTTTTTTATAAATCATAACAATTCCTTACATATAAATATTAAGTTTATTTATAGTCATTTGAAATAGAATAAATCGCACATTTATAATTACAGTTAATATTAAAACGAAAATTCGTAGTAAATATAAAAATATAAAACATACCTAAATTACGGTAGTTATTTATATGATTTTAAAACATGTTTGCAAATAAGTCACATTTTACACTAAATCAAATAGGTGTTAAAGATACCTAATGTGTATTATTTATTATTTGTCGAATAAATTACAAAATAAATTACATGATAATCAAGTCTTTTTTTTTTTTGAACCACTTATGCGTGAACACTTGTCTAATTCGAATAATTTAAATAGTTTTATCATTTTTGAATTACAACCAATAATGTAAAAATATCGTATTTTATTTGCCATTTATATGATGTATAATATACGTGTATTATACATTATTTTACAAAAGTCATTTGATTTTTACATTATTTTTTAACTTATTTTGATATCATAGAATATAGGTGTATAAGGTATATTGTATTATTTTTCATTAAAAATATCATATATTTTGACCATTTTTCAAGTTTTAATATATTTAGTTAAAGCTTAGATCATATACACATTATATCAAATGTTTAAATGCGTATTTTTATTAGGTTTTAACTTCTTATAAGTTATATTTCTAAATCTGATCGCAGATAATAATTTAATCTAAATATATTTATGTTTCTGAGTTTGTTTGTTCACGCCAAAAAAAATGGTAATCAATACGTATAAAACTAAAATGATCAATAACCCGGAGCATAAAATGGTTCATCTCAAAAAAATTTTATCAAATGAACTCGAAATTGGCTTACCAACAATTTATAATACTATATTGGAGTAAGAAACAAAAGTCGCTTGTTTACCAAATAAAATTAAAATTAAAAAAAAAAAAAAATAACTGAAAAAGTAGATTATTTTGAAAAATATGGTATAAGAAGAAGAATACATCAATTTTGACATGATCATGAAACTCCTATTTTAGACAAACTTCTTATGGCTGTAAATAAAGAAGAAGGTCTACCAGATTTTTCACATACGTCGTTGTTCAAATTGTTAAATCCTACTGACAAGGAAAAAGTTTGATTGTTGGTCACATCAGTTCCAAATATGGATTTTTTCGCGGAGGTCTTTTGTGCTTCGAGTAAAAAAAAAAAACATTCAAGATTATCGCGATGAGATGAAGAGAGACTATTTTCGTGATTGGTTGGAAGGTGTTTCGCCTAAATTAAAAGACAACGATCCTAACCATTCAGTAAAACTAGAGAAATGCTCAATTACAAATTTGAGAAAAAATGACATGATTGCATGGCTCAACAGCAAAGGAAAGACTACAAATAGAAAAATAGCAAAATAGCACAATACTTGTCTTAAAATTGTTAGAAGAAATTAAAAAAAAAAACCAATATATACCAATTGTGATATTATTAAAATGGTTAAAGCTAATAATAAAATTGTCCTTATACTACCTCCTTATCACTGCGAGTTCAACCCAATAGAACTTACATAGGCTGAAGTAAAAAAACATTTCAAGGCTAACAACAAAACATTCAAACTACAAAATGTAAATAACTTGATAATTGAAGATGTGAACAAAGTTAGTATATGTGGAAAAATTGTATCCGTCACATTTTCAAAGAAGAAGAAAAGCCTAGCACTTATATAATGTGGTCGAAGATCTTATGTCAGCAGAAATTCAGTCTTGCGTTCTTACTGTTAGCCACAGTGATATAGATAACTAGGACGAAGACTCCAACTACGATGAAGGCTTTAGATACCTATCAGATACCGAGTACATTACATTAACGTAATTGATTATGTAAATTTATTTTTGTTTTTATTTGAATGCTTATTACTTTGGTTTATATATAAATACAATAGCAATGATTAATATATTTATTAATTCTTAATATATAATTAATTAGTCACTTTATTAATAAACATTTTATTTTATAAAATTATATTATTTTTTTTTATATTTCTTTTAAAATATAGGTACTTGGATTTTCATTATTTATATTTAAATAAAGATTTTTAATTTAAAAAAACAGCAAAACAAAATTCTTGCTAAGCACAATAATCGACATACACACGTATTTTGATAATAAAATTAATGACCAAAATTATATTGTTACGTGATTTTAAAAATTATCACATAAAATATATTTAATTTTTGATCAAGATGTACATTGTATTAAAATGGGTTAAATGGAAAATTTAAAAACTTCTATGTTAAAATAAGAAACCTTGTTAAAAAAAGTACGTATTTTAAATTTTTAATTTCATAGTACTGTGCTCATTACACTTTAAGCAATAGCTATATCTCTTACTGAAGACGAAAGTTACACAAATAGTTAATAGACTGGTGACCATATTGGTTCTATCAAGTGGCTGGTAGTGACTGGAGAGTGTCGACTGTCAAGTAGAGTGTAGCATATGCGCGCGCGCTCGGAAAGTACGGGAATCGATTCGTCACACGTCAGAAAAGTCCAGTCTCGTTTAGGGTGCTTGGAGGGGGAAATTGATGTTTGGTATGGCCAAAACCGTCAGTCGAGATGCACGAAAAGTGATTATTCTCTCATGGAAAAGACTTTAGTAATACGTTTTTATTAAACATGAATATATCCTATTTTAATACCGGTTATGGGTGAGTGCATAGAAACTTATAAAAAATGATTTATAATTGCTTAATTTATTACCATTTTATGTTTATAAAAATTTCTGAGGTTATTAAGTCTTATTATTATTATCAATTCTGGAATTACTCGTTCAAATTTCAACTTGGATACCTATATAAAAATGCCAATAATCAGAATTCGAATAAACGCATATTAATATAAATTGTAAATATTGATGAACCAATGATCATGGGTTGATGAGCCATCATATAAATCGGAATCGCCTGCAGCTTTGGTCCCAAGATACCCTCGTATCTACTTATTATTATCATTGGAAATTACAATAACACAGCAAGTATTTGTATTTTAAATATTATAGGTACGCAATTTCACACACAGACGAGAATCGAGTAACAGTGTTAACTCACCGGATACCGCCGAAAAGCGTAACAATATCGGGACCCGGGTGACGGTACAAATCATGTTGCGCATGCATATATAATTATATCTATATACTTAAACGTATTTATTAATAGTATATATTATATTATATAATCAGGCTTACCTTGAATATGTTCCAATAGAGAAATACCATTATGATGCACGGTATGTAGAACGAGGAGAGGGACGAGTAAATGACGAAATTCGAGTTGTAAAAAACACAGAGGTCCGGCTCCCGGTCTGGCGTGTTGTTCAGCCCCAGCACAATGGGACTGCCAATTGCCGCGCTGATTGCCCACACCAGTACGATTGTCAGCCACACTCGTCGATTGTTTTTGTGCTTTGCGTATTTTATTGGCTGCGTGACCGCAATGTACCTGTGAACACACGCACACACGCACACACACACACACAAATTAAACGATAAATTATAATATTATGATTATCGGTCCTTCCGCCGCTGCTTTTGCAACACATCGCGTAGTATTATAATAATATTATTACTATTATTATTATTATTATTATTATTATTATTATTATTATAATATAACCGCTGTGTGGTACGCACATCCGGTCCGAATGGCGTTTTGTTCCGGTGTGTAAGCGGCGGTGGCGGTAAACATAAAAATATAATAATATCAATACGGGAATAACAGTTTACCCAATGGTGATAATAATATTATTGCACTTTACGTACCCAATGGAATGATTATTATATTATTATAATATTGTTATCGTGGATACAGCTACCCGCCTATCTGATAATAATCGAATGTAAGGTAAGCGTGACATAATTTTACGTGCTCATGCCTTCGCATTAACTTGTGTTTTATTTTTTAATTTGTGTAAATAACGAGGTGTGTTTGTCACCATTATGCCGACAGAAACTAGATCGTTTGCGTGCCTATACTATATTGCACTAAAAAACGTATAGGTATATTGTAATATATTGTGTATGCTGTATTTTAAATTTTGACTTGTGGTGACCTACACGTGGATGCTGTAGTTTTGTATAAATATATAATATTTTTATCATTATAAAATAGTGTATGTGGAACTATGAGATAAAGCATCAGTTTTATCAAAATATAAATGGTCCAGACCTTAAAAAATCATTCATAGGCTCTTCTCAAATAACTTTTTTTTATATAATTCGATAGTTTTCCTATTTACTTTAGTGATTCTATTAAATGTTGTATTACTATTATATGTACTATAGTTTTCTTGTATTTATTCACTACCTGATTCTAAAAATATGAGATAGATTAGTAGAACAGGGTGGCATGTGAAGAGGAAGCCCCCTGTAATGCTACTTTACTGTATTTTTATTATATCATACGAACTTAAATCAATTTTTTATTTTTAACGAGAGTACTTATTCTAAAATGAATAAATAAATATTAAGTTTTAGAATGTAATCTAATTTGTAATATGTATTAAAATAACAAATTATAATTTATATATTATTTTTGACTATGACCTAAATATTTCGAGTTTTAACCCATTTTGATGTAAAAATTGCTTTAAAAATATGTTAAAATATATAATTGGACAATAAAACTTTAATTTAATAGGTGTTATAAATTTTTGGTAAATATCAACATGAAATAAAATTTATACATATTATGATGAAACCAAAATCGTAAATGGTTTTGTATTACAAAAATTATAAGAAAGTTAAATAGTTTTTATTCTACAATCATTTTTTCTAATCTTATTTTATAAACTATAATAATATAACCCTTAAATGTTTCAAAAATAAAGTTCAATTTTATCAAACATAAATATGAATCAAAAAATGAAAATAAAATACACCTTTATTAATTTTTGTAAAATACCTATTGTTTGAAAACATTTTTAACGTTGAACTATGAACATTAATGGAACTCACGAAAATCTGTGTTCTGATACATATATAATACATACATATATATATATATATACGGTATTATAAGCATAATATTAATATTTTATATTTATGTATTAAAATTCATGATACGATTTCCTAAAGACAATAAAATTAATATGTAATGATATCGCTGTGGCAAGTAGGACGGAACCACGACGGATTCGGATTCTTTATTAGAATAACGCAACGATATCACCGTTTAATAAGACAACTAAAATCTTACGATAAACTGTATCTGTCATCGTTTTGTGCTGCAACGTCACGTTGTATTAAACACAGACACGTTAGCCAATTAGTATTGGTGGTTTTCAGAGCCTAATTAAAAGAAATTAGGGTCAAAAGCATGACTCTAGTCCATTTATCAAAATAATTATAGTGTACCTACACATAACAAAAGGCCCATGAAATGTCTAAATTTATGCTAATGTAGGAAAATAATTTTTAAAAATGTCTGATATGTTCACCAAACAATTGCGAGTATCTATTTGACAGAATCCCATTGATATATTGTACGCGAAGTATAAATACGATAGTATATTATTATATTGTGCGCGATCGTATACATCCCACAGTAATTAATAGTGGCAACCCGACGACGTCAACTCGTTGAAAATTTACAGTTTACCGACCGTTGCGAAACGACATCGACAGCGTGACATCAAGCCGAAACAGCAGGCTTTGTAGCCGTTCTCTGCTATGAACAGTGGCTTATACAAGGGTAAAAACTCTCCCACCCACTACTTGACTACCTAATAAAAAATAAATATATTTTACACACGAGATTTCGGTCGATCACAAATATCGTAAGTTAGCATTACTAAAAGCTGTGTTTATAAGATATTAATAATACCTCGACAGAACTTGAAATATTTTCTAAATTTTTGTTTATCATTATTAAACACGTATCAATTTAAAGATGAGGTCTATACTAATGAATTTGACTATTTATTGGCCAGACGTGCAAAATAATACTGATACATTTGATTCGGTCGAGAATTTATCGATGGAAAACGTGAAAATGAAACAAAGTATCCACTATATCTGTATAATATAATATTATCTATACATTTTATGTGTGTAAATTATAATATTTTACAAATTAAGAAAGAAACGTACATCGATGGCATTTTTATTCATTTTTTGGGGTACTATTTGGTATAACCATTGGAATTATGCTGACATGCGTTTAAAATCATTCAGTTTTTAATATCACTCAATCATCAATTAAATACATATGTTTCAATCTACATTGTACTAATTTTCCACTTCGTTCTTCTTACTAACGCATACAAATACTTTATATTAACTAAAATTTTCGCTTCTGTTGGTGTATTTTTAGCATCGCTTGGATCAACTCATGTTTTTTACATGTATGTTTTTATTTTATTTTATATTTTATAACTCAAAGGCTTTTATACATTTTGAGAAATGTTGATTTTTTATAACGAGTTTTTTTAAAGAAAATACGTTTCTTTGTGTAAAATAATACACAAAATAGGTATATTCCTATAATATATAACAAATATGATTCAAGCGCAACAGAATATTACAAAGTACACAGTCTTAAATATTTATTGATAGTTAAATTTTATGAGTATATACAGAAATAAGGTATAAATAATGTATATTGTATAATATAATTTTATATTTTAATGTATATTTCAGCTTTCAAGCTTAAGTCAATAATAATGATAAAAAAATAATACTTTTGCCTCGGGTATGAATAATTTGTTATAATTTATACTTAATCAATATAAGTATAGTATAATAATATAATATATAATATATAGGTAATGTAATGAGTACTAACATATTAAACTTTTAGTATAAATAATGTTTATAAAATAAATTAGCCACAAATTTCACTGAAATAAAATTAAATAATTCACAGTACATATAAAGAATAATAAAAATAAGAATGTATTTTAAGCAATTATATATATATTTATTTGATTTAACTTAAATTTTAAGTACTAAATTTAAATGTTTTAATTTAATAATATTATTTTATTTAATAAATAATAAAGTGCTTCATGATTACTTATACTATAAACTATATGTTTATGCTAAATATGCAGTATTATATTATAAAAAAAATATGTATTTAATTATTATTATTCGTATTTCATTTTATAATTTTATATTTGTTATCTTCATCTTTATGTTATCTGATATTATCGTGCAATACAAACAAAAATCTTATACCAAACATCAATATGATATTGATATATTTTTATATTTTCAATTTTTCTGATAATAATTTACCAACTCAGATTTTTATTTTATATCTGTTATATAAAATATATTTATTTTTATATACCTATTCATTTTGTGCCAAGATACCAAGATAATTAAAAAAAAAAAATTGTACCAATAAATTATTTGAGATTATCCTTGAATAAATACAATTATTGTTCGTAATATTTATTCGAATACCATGGAAAAATTATGTCAGTTAACTTCTTAATATATTTGTGTAGATAGAACAAATTGTTCACTCATTTCTATTTAAAATTCTCCCAATCTTCTGTTTGTAAGAAATATTTTAAAAAAAACAATTAAAAAATACTTATTTTTTAACTCAAAGTTTTAAATTTAATTTTAAATGCACCATGAAGTTTATGAACTAATGCTTTAAATTTAGACTTAAGAATCCAACTATGAACGATTTTACTCAGAAACTATTATAATATTTATAACCAAATGTGAACATAACTATATGTTCAAGAAAAAATTAATTTTCATAAACTGTCAGTATAGGTTTAAGAATTTAGTGTTTTTAACGAATACTGATTATATTTTATAGTCTCAAACGATCAACAGGATTGTAAAGAAAATAACATAAATTTAGAAAATACTCGCTCAGACAGTAAAGTAAACCTAAAAAACGAAATCGATTAAACAAGCACAAAATTAATTTATGGTACACAATGGTATCTCTTGATGTGGACAGATGATACGATTGAATAAGAAAAAAACTACCAACGTTCCGGTATATATAGTTTTTTTGTTCTTTATCGTCTTTCCCCTTCTTTCGCGTCAATCGCTTCTGGAAACCAATTACCTACGCAGTTGAATATTGACGTGGTAAACACGTCTGCTTATATAATTTAAAAGGTATGAATGGGTGAATTCATTTTTTTTTTTTTTGGATATCGTAACGACGACTACCGTTCCCAGTCTTCGATTCAACCATCATCACTATTACCAGCGCAGCCACCTTCACCGACGGCGGCACCACCACAGCTTTCGCAAATCAGAAATGACACTTCGGGGACACACTCGTGTTTACAACGGAGGTGAATTAATCATTTCAAAGTGACATTTTTAATATTTAATAATGCACGAATAATATTATATGGCGTCGCCACGGGCAAATGAATGGATGATGTACCACGCGCAGTGTCAAGATATGAGGGGAAAAGCTCATCTCGCGCCATTAACATTCGTGCGCACAAGCGCAAAGGC